GACTGGTCTCAAACTCCTGGCCTCAAGCGAACTCCAGCCTCAGCCTCCCAAAGTACTGGGATTACAGGTGTGAGCCACTGCAGCCAGCTTCCAGACTCCTTAAATAAGGAGGTAAGTTATGTGAGGTACCTGGAGTAGTCAAACATATCCAGACGGAAGGTAGAATGGTGGTTGTTAGGGGCTCAGGGGAAGGGGGAATGGGGAGTTGTTGTTTAATGGGTATAGAATTTCAGTTTAGCAAAGTGAAAAAAAGTTCTGGAGATCCATGGAACAATAAGGTGAATATACTTAGTGAACACTGCTGAACTGGACACTTAAAAAATAGTCAAACCAACCTGGCCGGTGTGGCGAAACCCCATCTTTACTAAAAATACAAAAAAATTTAGCCGGGCACAGTGGTTCACACCTGTAATCCCAGCTACTCAGGAGGCTGAGGTGGGAGAATCGCTTGAACCCAGGAGGCAGAGGTTGCAGTGAGCCGAGATTACACTACTGCACTCCAGCCTGGGTGACAGGGTAAGACCCTGTCTCAAAAAAAAAAAGAAAAAAGTAAGAGGTTAAGATGACCAATTTTCTGTTACATGTTTTTTTTAAACTATGGTTTTGAAAAAAAGCAGATAAAGAGTAGGCCTGATCTGCCCATAGTTTGCTGCCCTCCTCTCTGCCCACCTGCCCGCTTGAACACTTGGAGCTCTCCTTCCCTGTGTGTAAGATTGTTCTTTGGTAATGAGACGCCTTACCTGTCACTTAATGTCATCAGATAACTGAGAGTCCACTACGTTGAAGTCTCCATGAAGACACAGTCCATCTCCTCAACACACTCCACTGATGCCTCCAACCCCACTGACCTTGGAAACCCTTCCTGTCAAAGTCACAGATGACTTCCACTTTGCCAAATACAATGGTTGTTTTCTGGTCTTTCTCTCAACTTCTCTCTTGGACACAGTTGACTTCCTTCTTGAAATATACTCTTGTTTTCGTTTCAGGACCACCTCAATGTCCTGGTTTCCGCCTAACTTAATAAACGTTTGGATCCCTCTGCTGGTTCCACCTCTTCTCAAATGACTAACTGTTGGTGTAGCCCAAGGCTCTATCCTTGGCCTGCTTCTCTTTTCCCTCAGCATTTTCTCTCTAGAGCATCTCATCTATCCCTGAGACTTACAGATAAGTCAACAAGATATTTCCCAGATCTGTGCTTTCAGCCTGGATCTTCCCACTGAGTTCTAAATTATGCCTCCAACTGCCTTCTTGACCTCTCCACTTGGATGTCTGTATCAACCCATTAAGAATTTTCAATTCATTGGAGGTATAAACATGAAATTGGTTCATGTTTTTCCATAAATGCCCTGATTATGCTAGTCTCAATACTCAAGAATCTTGGGATAGTTCAGTCCAATTCCACAATGTTACTGAGGATTATTATTATTATTATTGAGATTATTATTATTGTTATTATTATTATTGAGATGGAGTCTTGCTTAGCTGTCCAGGCTGGAGTGCAGTGGTGTGATCTCGACTCACTGCAACCACCGTCTCCCAGGTTCAAGCAATTCTCCTATCTCAGCCTCCCAAGTAGCTGGGATTATAGGCACCCGTCATCATGCCTAGCTAATTGTTGTATTTTAGTAGAGATGGGGTTTCACCATGTTGGCCAGGCTGGTCTTGAACTCCTTACCTCAGGTAATCCACCCGCCTTGGCCTCCCAAAGTGCTAGGATTATAGGTGTGAGCCACTGCACCCAGCCAATGTTGAGATTATTACAGTAGTCTCATTCTATATTTTAAAATCTCAGTACTATTTATACTTAAATATTATCTCAATGGTCAATTCTTTGTCTAGGACAGGAAATTGTCAAATAGGCCTAAAACACCTTGATATATCAGAAAGCAAGGAATCGATCAAAAAATCTTAGGGCCATGCCAAAAGAATCCAGGAGCCAACATGAAGTCTCCCTTTGTCTAAAGATGGAAATGTTTGAACAATAAAAATAACAACTGCTGTGAATTAAACACATTAAACTCCTTAAATGTTTAAGTTCACAATGAAACTTTAAAAAACTCTCTCATTTGTCCTCTTTTAAGGATGACTAGGCAACCAATACATTATTTTGAAAACTTGTAAATAAAAGGAAAAAATAAATGTTTCCAGCATAAAATGAGCCCCAGGACAACCCAGTAAAGAGGGAAATTTATCTTTACAGAAGTATTTCAGCTAATAAAGGAAGAAGGATTAAATTGGAATATCACATTTTTTGGAACCTCTGGTGAAATCATTGTTCTTGGCAATAATCACCAATAATGGCTAAAAAGACAACTGTAGAAAAAAGCATAAGGGGAGAGCTTCACAATATTGGATTTATCAAGGATTTCCTCAGTATGATACCAAAAGAACAGTCAACAAAAGTAAAAATAGACAAATGGGACTACATCAAAATTAAAAGCTTCTGTGTATCAAAAGACAATCAACAGAATGAAAAAATAACCCACAGAATGGTAGAACATATTTGCAATTCATACAAGGGTTATAAGGGGTTAGGATCCAGAATACATAAAGAATTCCTACAACTCAACAAAAACAAAAACAAAAAATTCAATTAAAAAAATGGGCAAAAGACTCAGACATTTCTCTAAATATGATATACAAATGGCCAACAAGCATATGAAAGATGCTCAGTGTCACCATCACTGATCATTAGGAAAATGCAAATCAAAACCACAATAAAATATAACCTCACACCTGGGAGGATGGCTAATCAAAAAACAAAAAATGTGTAGCAATTAAACAAAAATAAAACAAGTGTTGGAGCAGAGGCAGAGAAATTGGAATGCTTGCACGTTGTTGGTGGAATTGTAAAATGGTGCAGCTGCTGTGGAACACAGTTTGAAGTTTCCTCAAAATATGAGAAATAGAATTACCTTAGGATCCAGTCATTTGATTTCTAGGTATATACCCACAAAAATTAAATGAACGATCTTGAAGCGATATTTGCACACCCATGTTTATAGCAGCATTATAGTCAAAAGGTGTAAATGGCCAAAGACTGGGCAGATTGATGGATGAGTGGATAAACAAACCTGGTACACGCATACAATGGAGGCCCTGAAAGTGAAGGGACTTCTGACGCATGCTACAACATGAACCCTGAGAACACTATGATAGTGGAACAAACCAGTCACCAAAAGACAAATATTGTGTGATTCCACTGACATGAAGTACCTAGAGTAGTCCAATTCATAGAGACAGAAAGTAGAATGGTGATTGCCAGGTGCTGGAATGGGGGCAATGAGGAGCTTTTGTTTAATGGGTGCAGAGCTTTAGTTTTGCAAGATGGAAAGGTTCTGGAGAGGGATGGTGGTGATGGTTGCACAACAGTGTGAAGATACTAAAGCTACTGAACCGTACACTTGAAAATACTTAAGATTATACATTTTAGGTATGTGGTTTTATTTTATTTTATTTTTTTGCCACAATAAAAAGAAAGAGAGAAATAACCTGTAACATAATCTTGCCAAAAAAAAAAAAAAAATTAAATCTGATCAAGCCTCTTGATCTAACTACCCAATTTATAGAAAATGTGGGACAGAGGAACATGTTACCAAGGTCACTTGGAAGCAATCAGCAAAACCCAGACTGTAGGAAACTCTACAGGAAAAACAACCAAATTTCTTTAATAAATTGCAAGAAAATAAAGTAGAAGGCAGAAGAAACCACAGATTAAAGGATTCTTTTTTTTTTTTTTTTGAGATGGAGTCTCGCACTGTTGCCCAGGCTGGAGTGCAGTGGCGCGATCGTGGCTCACTGCAAGCTCCGCCTCCCGGGTTCACGCCGTTCTCCTGCCTCAGCCTCCCGAGTCGCTGGGACTACAGGTGCCCACCACCATGCCTGGCTCATTTTTTGTATTTTTAGTAGAGACAGGGTTTCACCATGTTAGCCAGGATGGTCTCGATCTCCTGACCTTGTGATCCGCCCACCTCGGCCTCCCAAAGTGCTGGAATTATAGGCGTGAGTCACGGTGCCCGGCCCACGGTTTCACTCTTGTTGCCTAGGCTGGAGTGCAATGGCACCATCTCAGCTCACTGCAACCTCTGCCTCCCGGGTTCAAGCGATTCTCCCACTTCAGCCTTCCTAGTAGCTGGGATTACAGGCATGCATCACCACACCTACCTGGCTAATTTTGTATTTTTAGTAGAGACGGGGTTTCTCCATGTTGGTCAGGCTGGTCTTGAACTCCCGACCTCAGGTGATCCACCTGCCTTGGCCTCCCAAAGTGCTGGGATTACAGGCGTGAGCTACCACGCCCAGCCAAGGACTCTGGAAAGATATAAACATGAAGTGCAATGTATAGAACTTATTTGGATTCCTAATCAAACTATACAAAATTATGGTACAATCTGGGAACATCTGATAATATTCAGGAATATAATGGCTATTTTAAGTCCTTATCTTTTGGTGGTATATACGAAAATATTTATGGTAAAATACTCTGATATCTGAGACTTGCTTAAAAATAATTGGGATGGGGAAGTTGGAGGGTAAGTATGGACCAGCAAAACTGGCTGAGTTGGTCATTATTGAAGGTTGGTGGCAGGAGTCACCACACTATTCTTTCGGTTTTGTGAAATAGAACTCCTCTTTTGGCTGTCTGTCTTACATCTTTCTCCACATCTGGGCAGCATCAGCCAATGTCTGCACAACTTTGAGACAGAAGACAATCACAACTGGGGACGGGGTTGAGGTCTGGTTGGGCACACCCACTCTGCAGTTGCTTATCTGGGAGTCTGTCCTTTCATTTATTGAATGAATGAATGAATGAATGAATGAACGAATGAATGATATTTTTCAAAGCTGTGCACTGTGTTTGAAATAATCTATAATAAAAAGTTTTGTTTTTAAAATAGTAACCTTTGATCCTACTTGAAGTCAGTCTCCTCTTCAAGGAGTATGTATCTCATACTCCTTGCTGTGTATCTTGACAGCACCTTGACATAGGAGACAAAGGCATGGAGGGTACACACTTTGCCCCTCCAGCTCCCCTGGACCTACCCTCCTGGGTCGCAGCAGAAGGTGGAACAGAGTAGTGGGGACAGCTCCTTGCTGGGCTGCCCGGAGCGGGGAGGCAGTCTCCTCTCCCTGGATCGCTGTAGCCTTGTGGGCTACAGACACAAACAGTCTGACTATTTGTGAGACAGGGGTCACATGCTGGGTCTCTCCTGGACCAATCTCTGGGTTTTCTAGATGATCTAGCTCCCCATATCATCGTGGGTACCCCTGGCCGTGTGTTTGATATGCTTAACTGGAGATACCTGTCTCCCAAATACATCAAGATGTTTGTACTGGACAAAGCTGATGAAATGTTAAGCTGTGGATTCAAGGACCAGATCTATGACATATTCCAAAAGCTCCACAGCAACACCCAGGTAGTTTTGCCGTCAGCTACGATGCCTTCTGATGTGCTTGAGGTGACCAAGAAGTTCATGAGGGACCCCATTCGGATTCTTGTCAAGAAGGAAGAGTTGACCCTGGAGGGTATCCGCCAATTCTACATCAACGTAGAACGAGAAGAGGGGAAGCTGGACACACTGCGTGACTTGTATGAAACCCTGAGCATCACCCAGGCAGTCGTCTTCCTCAACACCCGAAGGAAGGTGGACTGGCTCACCGAGAAGATGCATGCTGGGGATTTCACTGTCTCGGCCATGCGTGGAGATACGGACCAAAAAGAACGAGACGCGATCATGAGGGAGTTTGGTTCTGGCTCTAGCAGAGTTTTGATTACCACTGACCTGCTGGCCAGAGCCATTGATGTGCAGCAGGTTCCTTTAGTCATCAACTACGACCTTCCCACCGACAGGGAAAACATTTCCACAGAACGAGCCGAGGTGGACAGTTTGGCCGTAAAGGTGTGGCTATTCAAGTGGTGACAGAAGAAGACAAGAGGACTCTTCGAGACATCGAGACCTTCTACAACACCTCCATGAGGAAATGCGCCTCAGTGTTGCTGACCTCTCCTGAGGGGCTGTCCTGCTTCCTAGCCCCAGCCAGAGTTCAATCTTGAGGGGCTGAGGAGCAGCAGGGGTGGGGGAGGGAAGGAAGCCAAGGGATGGACATCTTGTCATTTTTTTTTTCTTTGAATAAATGTCACTTTTTGAGGCAAAAAAAAGAACAAATTATTCCAAAAGAAAAAGTTGCTCATATGGAGAGCATAAAACACACTGTAGCTTATATTCTATAAAATATGGTATGGTAGATTGTTACACTGATGGTCCTCAATACATCACATCTCCCTGAACTCATCTCCTTGCATAGTTGCCTCTCACATTGATGCTAGGTTTGGCGGTGTGACTTGCTTCAATCCATGAGATATTGGCAAGACTGATGCAAGCAGAGACTTGAAAAGCAATTTACAATGGGACCTACTCTCTCCAGCTGGTAGGGATTCTTCCTTCAATACGTAGACAGCCCAAGTTAGCCTCCTAGAGGGCGAAAGAACACATGGAGGGAGACTCAGCCAGCCCAGCCATCCTAGCCAAGACCTGGCCACATGATTGAGCACTACCAACACCGCTCAGAGCACAGATCAGCTGTCCTAGCTTAGCACAGTCCAAATTACTAACCCATAAATTAGTGAGCAAAGGAATAGCTGCTTCAAGCCACTATATTTTGAGGTCAGGGGTAGGTAATGGCATTACTGTTGCTTTTGTTTCCCTCTCCGTGACTCTCACCCTCACTGCTGCCTGCCAGGCCAGGTAGTGGTTGTGAGGGAGGAGGATCTGGGAGAAGATCTGGGAGAAGACCTGGCTGATGACAGAAATAGCCTCATTGGGAATAAACTGCACTCCATCTGCACATCCCGATGGTCCTATCAGTTGCTAATAATCAAAAGCCAAAAGCCTTTCACTGTGAACTTAATGGAATCTTCTCTAAAACCCTTTCCACATACCTGAACACTACCTGGGTCACTGCTGTAGGCTATAAAAGAACTTTACGAGCCCAGCTATGTGCAGAGAAAGAGACCCTTTAAATACTTTTTAGTCCATACATGCTAGCCTGTTATCTTTCCTCAAAGCAATCCATTCTCACCAACATAGAGGAAAGAACTGAGTCCCAAACTCATTCTTATGACCATATAATTTTTCCCTATGAAAATATTACTCAGCTCCTTCATGGGGTTGGGGGAGGGGAATGGGATGTCTCTATCCATTTCATTGCACTTGCTATCGTTCTTGATCGATGAGTACCTAAATGAAAGTACTCACCTATTAGCAACAGGGCATATGTATTGAGCTAGTGGTTTAATAGAAGAGATGGATTCTTGCTGCTATCCTCTCTCCTTTGTGATCAACACATGTATGTAGAGAAAGCTCTGAGACACTTTATTCTAAGCAAGTGTGCTGAACAGTAACACCTGCCACTTGGGCTTAGGGAGGCATCAAGAAACAGAAAATCAGACAGACGTGATTTGCATAATGGTTCCAGCATTTAGGGTTTGATTTTGGGCAAGCTACTGAACCTCTCTGAGTCTCATCTAGAAAATGAGGCCGAAGCTATGCTCCTCACTGGGTTCAGGCAAGAATCCCTAAGGTGCTGTGTTTAAATCAGGGCCCATGATAAATGGTCTTAGTATCTGTTGGGCTCACTCCACTTTCCCTTTAGTCACCATATGCATTGTGGGAGCTAAAGGCATCACTTCAGTTCTGATGTTTTGTGTGACCACAGGCCAGAACCCAAGAAAAAACAGAACATGATTATTGGTGGCTATAATCAAGAATGAAAGGATCCCTTATTCTAGAAGTTTGCAGTGTCAGATGGAGCTCACTGATTCAGACTGACAGCTACAACTGGGCAAACCAGCCCGAGACAAATAACAAATGTGTTAATTAGTGAAATGTAATGAATAAAGAAATGGTGCAAGAGTTTTTGGTGTGGTTGTGTGACGAATGACCCGTGCATGGCAGGTCCAGACAGGATGGGTTTTGGGGGTGGGGGAAGGAGAGAACCATCATCCTGGTCCCAGTTTACTGGGAAAGGTTCTGTGAGCGAAGTGTGATTTTAGAATTATTTGAATATTGGTAGGAGGGGGCTTTTGGAGTGAAGTGGGTGTTTCAGGTAGAGGGTGTGGCCCGAGACATATTTCAAGGGACAGTCAGAGTAGAAGGAAGCAAACGCCAAGCCACACACGATATTATTCAAAGTCAGTAGTGAAGGAGCAAATCGCAGATGGGGTCTGCGATTTTCTGAAAAGTTGGCAAATTGAGTCTTTCAGAAATGCACAAATATGTTTCCTCTAACATGGGTATCAGTTCAGTTGAGGGCCCAGATTTAGAGTGAGGTGCAGGGGGCTTGGAGCCCTTACAAAGGGGACCAGCAGTTGAGGCCTGCATGAGGAAAAGACAAAAGGACGGGGCTAGTTTACTGGGGACAGCACATGGTGTGGGAGAGACCAGGTGCCTTCTTATATTCTCGATGAGGGCTCTGGAAAACATGTAGTTGCTTCTTCTGCGCCTGTGAATGGCAGAGTGGAAGAAAGGACTTCAGCGTCAGCAGAAGAATATAGAAGAGACAAGGAAAAATCAGTGTCTCATAAGACATGCAACAAAAGCACAGTTTAATCAGAGGCCCACGACATTTCAATCCTAGGAGTTCTTTCCAGACAGGAGAAATCCGCTCTGTCTTCATGCCTCATTTGTTTATAATCCCTCAGTTTATGACATTCAATAAGTGGACATTTACAAGATCCAAATTCATAATACAGACTATAACCTTAGCATACTCAACACCCAAGGATTTGCCATGATACATTGTTCAGGTCCCCTTGAGCTTAAACTTTCAGGAAACTGGCTCCCTCCCCCTGGAATTTTCTACTGGATTTCCCATAGACTCTGCTGCAGTTCTGCTCTCTCTTCCGCTCAGACAGATCTTTGCCTTTCTTCAAACCAGGAACTGCCTTTCAAGGGGGCTCACACAAACTGCAACTGAGCTGCTGGAGAGACATGCCCCTATCACAGAATGTGGAGGAGGGAGATTGGAGGTGGACGGGTTCTGCAGCAGCTAGGAGCAAACATATTCACACTCACAATTTTGGGGAGTCAATTCTTAAAATAGATTATATAGACAATACAGAGATTGCTGTATGTTCACCAAATTCTGTCTCTCTTTCCTCCCAGCATACAGTGAGTCGACGTCTTTCAGTTTATCTTGCAGCCAGTTGGAGCTGTATGGTGAATCTTGGGGAAGTAGGAATGATGTGTGGTGCTTCCAAGCCTGGCTCTTAAAACAACTCCTGCAAGATCCTCCATGTTCTCTCTCTTTCTTCCTTTGACTACTGGCCAGAGCCAGAAGATCTAGTGAAGGACAATAAGCCCTTGGGGACAGCAGACCTGACCATCTGGGTCTGGTCAGCAGCTAAGGGTAAAAAGAGGACTATAAAGCCCAAGGCGACAGAAGAGCTCTAGCTGGAAGGAGACTGAGCCCTGAGTACGTGCATGGAACACCCGTTCCCCCACCAACTCACACGGGGCTACCAGAAGAGAAAAATAAACTTTGATTGTGTAGGGTCACTGAGGTGGAGGAGGCTGTTTGTTATAGTACGTGGTCTACCCTGGCTAATCCACGTGGAGCTAGAGACCGCCGCCTGTCTGGGCTCTATACACCAGTGTGGGTTAAAATGGGTGCCTTAGGGGAGGGCTTAGCCAAGCGGCCTGAGCTATGAGGCCAGAAATGATCAATGGAAATGAATAGATGTTTAAAGAAATTAGGGGTAGCGTCAGGTGAAAAAGTAAGGTAACACTTCAAAATCTATTCCACGCCAAGAGAATTCACTATGGAAATAATATTATTTTCAACAAATGGTGCTAGGACAACTGAATATCTACATGCAAAAGAATAAAGTTGGATCTTTCCCTTATACTGTACATGAAAATTCCTCCAAATATATCACAGATCTAAATATAAAAGCTAAAACTACAAAACTCCTAGAAGAAAACAGGAGTAAGTCTTCGTGGACTTGGGTTAGGCAAAACCTTCTTAGATATATAATGCCGAAAGCACAACAACAACAAAAATAAACTGGACTTCCATCAAAATTAAAAACCTTTGTGATTCAAAGGACACAATCAAGAAAGTGAAGACAAGCCACACAATGGGAGAAAATAATTACAAATCATATATTTCATAAGCAACTTGAATCCAGAAGTGTTACAGCTCAACAATAAAAAAGACAACTCGATTTACAAATGAGCAAATAATTGGAATGAAAATTTCTCTGAAGAAGATATACAGATGGCCAACAAGCCCAGGAAAAGATGCTCTACATTACTAGTCATTAAGAAAATACAAATCAAAACTACAATGAGATACCATCTCATACCCACTAGGATGCCTAAAATAAAGAAATCAGATAACAAGTATTGGTGAGGGTGTAGAGAGATTGGAACCTTTGTACATTGCTGGTGGAAATGTAAAATGGTGCAGCCTCTTTGGAAAATATTTTACAGTTCTTCAAATAGTTAAACACAGAGTTAGCATATTACCCCCGCAATTTCACTCCTAGGTAGGTGAATACTCAACATAAATGAAAACTTACGCCCACAAAAAATCTTGTACACGAATATTCATAGCAGCATTTATTCATAATAGTCAAAAAGTAGAAACAATCCAAATATCCATCAACTGATGAAAGGACCAAAAAAGGTAGTATATCCAACCACAGGACTATTATGCAGAAATAAAAAAGAATGAAGTATGTACTGACAAATGCAGCAACATGGATGAACCTTGAACACATTATGTTACGTGTAAGAAGTGGGTCAGAAAAGGCCATCTATTGTATGGTGCCATTTACATGAAATGTCCAGATAGACAAATCTCTGGAGACGAAAAGAAGACTAGTGGTTGCCTCATTCCTGGAGGGGAGAGGAGAGGAGAGGGAAGACTAGGGGAAAATGGGGAGTGACTGCTAATGGGCACAGGGTTTCTTTTTTTCTTTTCCTTTTTTTTTTTTTTGCGACGGAGTCTCGCTGTGTTACCCAGGCTTCAGTGCAATGGCACGATCTCAGC